AATATTTCACAGTTACATTTGCTCTTGCCTAAAAATAAAACTAGAGCAATACAAGGGCAAACTGCCAAGACTGAAAATAATACACAGCAGCTGTAAGTAATTGGGGATGATAATCATAATTAGACGAGATGTAAGATATGTGTTAAAACTCAGATTGGATCTTCCTGTTGACAACTGGGAGAAATCCCAAAGGCCTGGACATCATACCTAGCCTGGGCACTTTCACTCCATGCATGAAAGACCTCCTCTGAAAACAAACGTGACATTACATCAGCCATTAAACCACTCTCTAAATGCCATGCACCATGCTCTTCTCTTTGGCAAAAGAGAAGAAAAGAGAAGAAAAGGAGAGCGGTCATACTCCCTGACTTTGAGGAGATTGCAAATCAGAGGAGACTGGCCAATTATCTAGCAGTAAATGATATTAAATAAAAATCATCTCAAAGAAGCCAAGAAAAAGGTAAAATGTACGATAAAATGGAAGACATCATTGTAAAACCAGAGAAACTCTGATATAATTGAGTATAAAGAATGAAGTAAAATATGCTTGTTCCATGGAAAGCATCTCAAGCTAAACAGAAAGCTCTGTTTAGCTCTGTAGGCACAGCCTCATGAGACTGGAGCAAAGAGAGTATATGAGTGGGGATAAGTTGGCTAAAACCAGGTAACAGAGGTCCCTGAATGTAGCACTACAAAGCTTTGGCTTCACTCAGGAGGGGCTGGGGAGTCCTTGTAGGTTTTGAGCTAACACAGGCCTCTGCTTTTCCCTACCCTGGTATAATCTATTGTCTACAGAGTAGCCAAGAGATCATTTAAAAATAGTCAAACTATCTCATGGCTTCTTATATCACTCAGAATGAAACCAAAGCTCTCATCATAGCCCAACTACCTCTCTGATCACATGACCTATCCCTCCTAAATTTACTTAGGATAAATAGCAGTATAATATTTGAAGACAACTAAAACCATGGCAAAGAACCTGCAACAGATCTGGCCATCCCAGAGGCCCCAACTAGATTATTCCTAAGGAATTCAGGACTATAGTTGGGGACCTATGGATTCATCTATGCTCATTATCTTTTGCAGCAGAGTATGATGTTATAAAACTCAGTACATGTTCTGCTTCTATATAATCTACCTAATGATCTACCTTCTTGCTAAAAAATGCTAAAAGGAAGTAGTCTTTCCTGTACAGGTTAAAATAAAATGATAATGAGCCTGAAACTAGAAAGAGAAGAAAGATTCAGCAAAACATGGGTGGGGGAAGACAATACTCTTTCAAAAAAGAAGTCAAGGTATAATGTCTCCTAATAGGTTTGTGGTGCTGGTGAAAGAAATGGATGTAAATCAATAAATTCAACACCTACTAAAGCACCTACTAAATACTAGCCTCTGTTCAGTATCAAAGATAACAGATACATATAAGAAGTCTTGGCTTCAAGAGTTTCTTGGTTTAGCCAGGTTAAGGTGTCTAAATATGATGTTTTCAGTTACTAAGTAAGATGAGGAAAAGAGAGAAGCACTTAATTTGGCATGGGGATTTTATAAGGGTTTTTTTTTTTTTTTCGTTTTAAAGGAGGTGATATTTGAGCTCAGTCCTGAAGCTAATTTCTAATAATAGCTAACAGTTATTTTCTTTTATTCCTTAAAATCAAATAGTTGGTTGGGATTTAATATGCCAAGCAAATCTATTGAGCCAAATAGTACTGAGACCTTTAACTGTAGCATCATTAGATCTTTTCTTCAAACAATTCAGTTTGACAGTCATACACACACAGAGGCCACACATAATAAAAGTCAATCAATGGGAATAAAGTTTTATAATGATTGTATACCCAAACAATGGAATCCTATACAGCCATTTTTAACATGAAATGTATATGTACTGAAATGTGTCTATCATTGCATTTTGTAACAATTAATTGCATTAGTCACTGTTACCTGAACTACTTATCTGCCATGACTTCTTAGGGAGTCCTACCATGTCTGTGCGTTATCCTTATAGTTGCATATATCCTACTGTTCTATATTTGCCCATTTATTTGTATCCCCAACTGGAATGAACTCTTCCTGAAAGAGAGGATTAGGTTTTATTCATCTTTGCCTATGTTATGTTTAATCCAACTCTCAGCACATAAAATATATTCAGTATAGAGTTCAGGAGTATGAATGATGATAAATGACTTGATATTAGGTATATGACCTCACATTCCCTTGATTAACTTTGCTCCTTGTTTTTTGGCCTACTTATTGTTTATATAATAATTATTCCATAGTCCATTGGCTATAATAATTGCAGGCTAGCAAGTCAGCACCCAGCTTCTAGTTTATTTTAGGACTAATAGAAATATAGTCACAAACAATAGAAAAGTACATCAATTTGTGGCATCAGTAAAAAAAATGTATGCTATTTTAATTGTAAAGGATTATTTTTAAAATATATTATTCATATATCTTTGTCATGTTTAAGATAATAGGAGCTATCTCCTATTATCTCCAAAACACATGTCATTGGATGTAGATGACAAGTAGGAGTATATATGGGAGTATATAAAATTAAGTAACAAAAGAACAACAAAAGGACCATATCTATTTTATTAACCATTGCATTTCCAGCACTTAGTGTAATGCTTGGTAACTAGTTCAATAAAATTTGTGAATGAATGAAAGAAGTATATTAATGTAGTACATTTCTTAGCTTATAAGCATGTGTTTTGTTTCATAAAACATTCCATTTTTTAGGATAGAAGTACTCATTTTAATTATGAACCATTCATTTATTTAATTGAATCATTCACTTAGACATTTCTTGAGCATCTACTTATACCAGACTTTGCCAGATTTTGCATCTGAAAATACAAAGATAAATAAGGCAATGACCTAGGAGAGTTTACAACCAAATATCTGCAATGCAGTGTGAGAGTTGTATAATAGAGGAATATATGTTGCATAATCTAATGACACAAAAGGGGTAATCAGCTCAGCTTGTTGGAAGAGAGGGGATTCAAGAAAGATTACCCAAAAATGCATTTTAAAGGATAGATGAGGATCTTTGAAGGACTTTAACATTCTACTCACTTAATGGACTACTTAATTTGTCACAAAAATAACTTACTTTTGCTTTGTATGCTTAGCTGTTAAAATGTATTTCTTATATATGAAATCATTTTATATGCCTTGCTTATTATTAATCTTTTACTATTATAATAGTTTTATTAACCTTAAAATTCTTAAAAAAAACAACTCTGACATAGCTCTTATTGAGAAGGTCATGCACAAATTAAATATTTATTTATATTTAAAATATTCTTCTTGGTGTTGAGCAAGAGAAAATAAGTAGTTCCATGGTTTCAAATTAGACTTTTTTTTTATTGGAAATTGAAAAGCTATATGTTCAACAATAGATTTATTTTCTTCATCTTTTTATTTTTTAAAAAACTCATTTGTGATTTTACAGATGCATTAAATAGTTGATTTTGCTGTTTATTAAAAGGCAGTAACCTCAGCGCTGGAATCCCACTCACCTGGATTCAGTAATTGCATTGTCAAGGAAGCTTCCCACTGACAGGGCCCAATGCATCTTTCATCCCCTTTAATTTCTTAGAAGTGTAAACAACACTATTTATTCTTCTTGTTACATGGCAAATAGTCATTTGTGAAAGTTTCATTAAAAACTACCTGCTGGTAATTCAAACTCAGTGTGACTAAAACTGCTCCTGGATTTGAGCTATGGATTTAAGGATAAAATAGTTTATTTCTTTACTACATTATTCAATTTTTACTAGGAAACAGTATTTGAAATCCAGGTTTCATTAAGAAAAGGTAGTTAAAAATATGTAGGTGGATTTTTTTTTGTTATTACTATTATTATTATAATAAATGAGAATCAGTTGCAAGCAAGTCTGAACATGTCTGTGACAATGCAATTTCTGGAACACAACATAATTCACATATAAGTAGGAAACTATCCCTTTCTGAAATGAAGTAGAATCTATTCAGTAGACTCCAACAAGATCTGAAACTTAATGAATCTTTAGGTGTTCAGTGAAAATTCAACATGACTGCTATCCAAATACCAGATGAGCTTCTCCATGTATAAAACTGTGATTTTTCTAATGTATAAATGTAGTCATATATTCAACTGCTTCAAATTCTTCAAAATCTCCTTCAGTATAAAAGCCTAAACCATTTTTCATTACAAGAGAGGCCATTCTACCTGTCTGGAGCACTTTAATTCTCTCCACTTCAGGCCTCAAACTTTGTGGTCGTGCAAGACTAATCTATGTTTAGATACGAATATATACCCTGCTCTCTCCTTTCTCATGACTTTGAATATGCTGTTTCCTCTACCCAAATAACAGTCCTCTTTGATAAAACTCTCTTTGTTAAGTTATTCCTCTCTTGCCCAGACAGATATAAATGCACATGCAACTTTAATATTCCTAGGATTGTATTATAATTGTTTGAATCTGTCCCACTAAAATATATATATATAAAATGTATGTATATATACACACACACACTCACACACACACACATATCTTGGAAGGGAGAATCTTTTCTTTGTTTTTCTTACATTTGGCATAGTATCTAATCAATAAAAAGGATCTACAAATATATGCATAAATGAATACTGTCCACTAATAAACATATTTACAATACATATAAGAGGAGTAATGATGTTAGTGGCTTTTTATCAAGCACTTAACACTTGTGTACCCCAGTGCAATGTTATATGTGCATTATCTCCCATTCTTACCACAGTCCTATGAGGTGGATGATATTATTTCTATTATTTTTATTTTGCCCTTGAGAAAACTTAAGCTCAGAGAAGTTATTCAAATAGGCCACACATTATCATAGAGCAGAATCAGATGTGCACCCAAATCCGACAGCAATGCCAGTGCTCTCCCCAATACACACATCTGCTTTTTTATTATTGTCAAGATCCTGAAAGACACAAATTAGATTTTGATTTAATCTTTTCCATTTCTTTCCAGCTCCAAGTACAGCCCAGTATGGAATTACCGGGAGCGCTGATGTTCTTTTCTCCTGCTGGTACCTTGTGTTGACACTGTCCTCTTTCACCAGCATATTCTACCTGAAGAATGCCATTCTACAATAAATTTAAAGACCCATAAAAGGCTTTTAAGGATTCTCTGAAAGTGCTGATGGCTGGATCCAATCTGGTACAGTTTGTTAAAAGCAGCGTGGGATATAATCAGCAGTGCTTACATGGGGATGATCGCCTTCTGTAGAATTGCTCATTATGTAAATACTTTAATTCTACTCTTTTTTGATTAGCTACATTACCTTGTGAAGCAGTACACATTGTCCTTTTTTTAAGACGTGAAAGCTCTGAAATTACTTTTAGAGGATATTAATTGTGATTTCATGTTTGTAATCTACAACTTTTCAAAAGCATTCAGTCATGGTCTGCTAGGTTGCAGGCTGTAGTTTACAAAAACGAATATTGCAGTGAATATGTGATTCTTTAAGGCTGCAATACAAGCGTTCTGTTCCCTGTTTCAATAAGAGTCAATCCACATTTACAAAGATGCATTTTTTCTTTTTTGATAAAAAAAGCAAATAATATTGCCTTCAGATCATTTCTTCAAAATATAACACATATCTAGATTTTTCTGCTCGCATGATATTCAGGTTTCAGGAATGAGCCTTGTAATATAACTGGCTGTGCAGCTCTGCTTCTCTTTCCCTGTAAGTTCAGCATGGGTGTGCCTTCATAAAATAATACTTTTCTCTTTGTCTCCAACTAATATAAAATGTTTTGCTAAATCCTACAATTTGAAAGCAAAAATAAACCATAATGATAAAGTTAAACTATACATCTATAAAGAATGAAGGAGCTATTGAACTGTAAACATCTCTTCCTTCGTTCCCAGTGGGGTTTGAGAATTTTGCCCCACAATAACTCTGTTTTTTGATGAGAAACAATTTAATAACATAGTACAATAAATATACCATATGGTTTCTTTAGTTGTAGCTAAATGTTAGATCCTTTGTGGGAAATAATTCCCTTCAAAATGACAGCACAGTCCACTCAAGGGATTGCCTAGCAATACAGCATCTTTTCCTTTCACTCTTCCAAGCTAAAATTTTTAAGATGATGTGTCAGAAAGGACACAGAATCCTATCATCTAATGTTACATGAGTTGGTAAGTGCTCATAATTAATTTGGTTTTGTGGTAGGTAACTTGGTATGACAAAGACAGTGATCCTGTGGACAGGAGCATTGTGCGTGTTTTCCATCTTAAAACCACCCAGTTGATAGTCTGGAATACATGTTATATTTTTTAAAAGTTCCAAAATATACTATAACAAATATCATATATTGGTATGTAGCAGATCAATCCCTGAAATAACTAATTCTTCAGTGAAATATTTCTCTATAGCCATTTCAGTTCAAATAAATGAAGCCAAAACAATTACCATGCTTTATTTTTTTTACATGATATATGTAACATATGATCAAGTAAAAACATGACACCTGTAATGGGACTATCTTAAGATATATTAATTATTAAATTATTGTGAATATTAAATTATCTCTATTATAAAGAATTAAAGCTTACAATTTTGAAGGAAAATGCTGTTACTCTAAGTATTACATTACAGGAATAGTTTGATGGTTTTTCTCTTTACTAAAAGAAAGACCATAGCCGTGAAAGCCATTTTACAGGTTTGATGAAGTTACCGATGTCAGTACACCTAGATTTCTACAAACGGTCCCCTTTTTGCACGTCATAACAAGAACAATGATTCTAGAAATAAAATTAAATGCAAGAAATTTTAAAGTGGTTGTACATATATATCTAATATGTTGCCCTACAAGAGAGAGCTTGAAAATTGTAATTTTCTAAAGTAAAATTTAGTTCCAAAGTATACTATATATAAATCTATTTTAATTAGAAAAATGAATCTGAAATGAGGGGGCATAAATATACAGAATTTCCACAAAATAACAATAATATGGCAGAATGCTATTAAATCCACTAACTGTAACAGATTTATGACATTATTTGACTGATATATAATGAGCTTTTAAAACCAATATGGCATTTAACTTTATTATTTATTTGCTTTTCAAAAAAAAATTCTTTGTGGAATTGGTAAGTAAACTACAAAGCATTATTTTGTATTGCAGCTTTAAAGTGGCACACTCCATTATAATCTACTTACTAGAAATAGTGGTGCTACCACAAAAGTGTTAACCATCAGTAACATTGTTTGGGAGAAAGAAACAGATCAAGAATGCATATTATACAGTGATCGCTTTCCTAGAGTTAAAAATACCTCCTCTTTGTAAGGTTTGTAGGGTAAATGTGAGGTAAATTGAGGTATAAACTATGGATGAACCAAATAATTAGTTCAAAGTGTTGTCATGATTCCGAATTTGTGGAGTCTGGTGTTTTTCCCATAGAATGTGACAGAAGTACAGTCATAGCTCAGTAGCTATATGTATTTGCCTTTATGTTAGAAGAGACTTTCTTGAGTGACATTTTTAAATAGAGGAGGTATTCGCTATGTTTTTCTGTATCACAGCAGCATTCCTAGTCCTTAGGCCCCTGGACAGAGTGAAATCATGAGTATTTATGAGTTCAATATTGTCAAATAAGGCTACAGTATTTGCTTTTTTGTGTGAATGTATTGCATATAATGTTCAAGTAGATGATTTTACATTTATGGACATATAAAATGTCTGATGACACCATTTTATCAGTCCTGACTGTACAAGATTGTTGCAATTTCAGAATAGCAGTTTTATAAAATTGATTTATCTTTTGATCTATAACAATTTTTTATTAGCTATTCATTTCAGCATTATATTTTCCACAAGCTCCATTTGTGGGACTCATTTTGTTGCCCCTAACTTTTTTTTTCAAAGAAGGAAGAAAGAAAAATAAAGAGCAGTTGAAAAAGTAGAGTGGAGAGAAAAGAAAAGAGAGAAAAGGAAAGGAAGTAAAGAGAGAGGGGAAAAAAGGGAGGAAGAAAGGAGAGTAAGAGAAAGGAAGAAAGGAAGGCATGCAGGAAGGAGGGGGGGTGAGAGGAAGGAAGCAAGGGAGGAAGGAAGGATGGAAGGAAGGGAGAAAGGACAGATATGAGGGAAGAAAGAACCAGAATATTAGGGTAGTTACCTTGTTCATTTGCATTCTTAGTTTAACTGCAAGTGGTGTAATTATGTTTCACAATGATCTCATTCAAAACATAAGTCTGGTTACACCATTAAGTTTCTATTGTTTAGCAATTATATAATGAAAAGTACTACCCAAGTTATATATCATGGGTTTTTACTTTTTTGACACACTAAAAGATTTGAGAGAGGAAATTTTAAACTTAAAGCCACTTTTGGGGGGTTTATAACTTAACTGAAAAATTAATGCTTCATCATAACATTTAAGCTATGTCTAGAAAGTAGACTGGAGAACTGAGCAAATTACCAGATAATTCAGGGCAATATATATATATATAATACATATATTATATATATATATAAATACCCCGATGTGTGAAGTCGGAAAACTCCGAAAAACTCAATTATCGAGACCAATCATCTATATTGATCAAATTTACTGAATAACTGTTAATTTATCCATTGTGCTTAGCTTTGTGACACAGCCAAAAGTTATCTATTTAATCTTTTCAATAAAAATTGTTTTTTGAAATCCAGAAATGATTTAAAAAGAGGTCAGGTTTTTAACTATTTATTGAAGTATGTGGATGTACAGTATTTCAATAGATATGAATATGAATAAATGGTATGCCTTAAGATTCTTTGAATATGTATTTACTTTAAAGACTGGAAAGAACTCTTCCTGTCTTTTAGTAAAACATCCATATTTCATAATCTGATGTAAAATATGTTGTACTGTTTCCAATAGGTGAATATAAACTCAGTTTATCAATTAAAATATGTATTTGACTCATTTTAAAACTCTATTAGCTTAAGAGTAAAAAGGAAGAAATAACAACTTAAACATATTTCTCCTATTCCCTTCTTCATTTCCTGCTGTATTCACTGTATCACACTCATCTTTCTGGTACTTGAAGGCAATACAGGGTGAAAATTTTAGATGCTACTGTTTCAAAGGACTCCATGCCATAGTCTTTCTCTCTGTTGCTGATTCCCAAAGGCTTGACAAAGATGAACTACATCCAGCCCAAAAAGAATTTTTCTGGAGCTATTTTATTATCAATTATTTAGAACTTTTGCCTGCTAAAATGCAGCAGAATTAGCCACAGAGGCTGATGATAAAAGCCTGATGGTCTTACAGGCTAAGCAACTGGAAACTCAAATGCTCGTAAAAGCCAGGCAGAATATAATTTCTTAAGACAGCTGGGTATAGAAGAATGTGCACCTCAAGGCATTTGGATACAAGTTCCTTAAAAAATACCTTGCTTTCTAAACAAAACATGTTATTTAACTGAGAGCCCACAGCTTATAAGTAATGAACTATAATGTACAAATGGAGCTCACCCCAAATGAATTATTTAAGCCCTCTTTCACAAATCTTTCCATCCAGAATAGTCAACCAAATAAACGTGGTAGATAAAACAAAGCAAAAACTATAACAAAGATCCATGCTTGGTTTAATAATCTATTTTGAAATATGAGTTTCATTGCTATTCTGGGAAAACTATATATGCCAAAAGCTTCCCTGCAAAAAAAAAAAAAAAAAATGCACTAATAAATGTCTGATTTTCCTACTGCCTCATTCTTTCTTCCCTTTTCAGCTTTTATCCTGAACTCAATTACATTATGGAAAGAGAAGCATCAAGTATCAGACCCAGAAATCTAGCACGTGAAGCAGAGATAGAGCTCTCTCTGAACATTATAGGTTAAAACATAGCTACTTCCGAACCACATCCAGATACACAGAAAATAATTATTCACATTACCTTGTCAGGAAGAATTATAAGTAAGAATTTTTAGACAAAATTTCCCAAGAATAATTCATTCAAGATAGGGGGATTTGATCCAAATTCCACAGGCAATGTATTCCCTCTGCACTTCCTGACAAGCATATGCCTTCACATTTATATATACATTTTTCCTAATAATTCCAAACTTACTGAAATGTTTAAGAATTGATATTGCTAGTGTAAGGAGAACAAGTTGGCAAGCAAATTAAGTAAGTACTTTCTAGTCCTCATAGAAAGAAAAGGAGTCGTAGTTTTCATTCTTCTTCCTAGAAGCTTTACCCACATTCATCTTAAGGCTGGACCAAACTCTCCCAAGGGTTTCAGACTAAGAGACATGCTCTACCTCAGAGTTAGATATGACAACTATAGTTATTCCCACAACTACCTCTACCTTGCATTTCAGAATGGCAGAGCACCTTGGAAGACATTTCTACTTTGGCTTTCACAACACTTTAAAATACTTAAGGCAGAAATTATTATTATTGTCATGTATTGATGATGAAAATGAGAATCAGAAAATGTAAGTCACTTTACGGGGGTTATACTTCAACTGAGTGGCAGTTTTAAGCCAAATGTGCAATGCAAAATACTCCTAATTTGCTTCTATTCCCTTTAGCTTACCTAGGAGGAAGAAAAGGATGTGATCACATTGCTAGCTTCATGAACAATGATATGTATGTTTATATAAAATAACTATATTTATACACATAAATATATATAAGAGATACTTATAACATGTCTTTATTTTCCAATGCCTCTGGAGAGAGTAGGGAATTTAAAGGCAAATCAAATTATACATCTCATCTAAAACTTTGGGAGTATGAAACATACAATGAAATTGCTTTGGACACACAGCCAAATGGGTATTACATCCATCATACCAAGTGGAAGAGCTTGTCAAAATCACATGTATCTTCTCTTTATATAGCATTTTGCAAAAGACCTGTCAAGTTTGGGATAATCTACAAAGACTATTCCTCAGACGTCTGCAGTCAACAGAATTCTTGTGAAAATGGAGATCAGAATGCACCTGCATTTTTAAAAAAATTCACAAAAGAATACTGATTTTTAATCTGAGTGATGTTGTTTGAGCCAATTTATATCAAAATACTAGTTATATGCGCATCTGTTTGTGCTTGGGCAGTAGAACAAGAGGGAGATTCTAATTATAGAAATTAAATTATATGCAACGTTAGAAATACATTTGTATTTTGTTGTCGAAATATAAATATAATGCAAGTCCTGTGGACATCACTCTTTATTTTTAAAAACATGAAAAGTATGACTTTAATAAACTTATAAAATGAATACATTAATTTATTAATGAAGGACCTGGTCAGATGTTACAACCAGATAAAAAGACAATACAAAGAACACATACATTTATAGATCAAAAATATTGAAATCAATGTGCTAACTGGAGTCAAAACTGGCTTCTTTCAGTGAATATTTAAACAGAGAATTTATTTCCATATCTACAGACAACAAATATTTTGTCTTAGTATCACTTATCTACAACTTGGAAAAGAGTTCAAATGCAGTGAAAAATACAGAGGCCCTGAAGAATCAGATCAGGTAACCTGAAAGCAAGTACTATTAAATAATGAATGGTTTTTCATTGCAGAAAATATTTTTCTCTTAAATGATAAGATGTACAAATTTTAAAAGGAGTTGAAATAAATAAATTGCTAATATTTTGAGTTTTCATAATAGAATCCCTATTTTGATCACTCAAAAAATACCAGCTTATCTACATATTTTATATTCTATATTCTCTGTATTCTAATTATTATTTTTCTTCCTTCTCTCACAAAACATTACCCAATTGTCTGAGACATGTAGAAAGGGAAGTAAACAATTATAACAAGAAGAACTACCTTGCTTCAATAATCTGCCTTGTTAAAAAAATAATGGTTTTTGGACACTTGTTAAAAGAATTAAAAGAAAAAGTCTTTTTGTCCCAAGGGGCATTTAATTCTTGGTATAACACGGATTTTACATCAGCAATAAGAAAAATGAAGTAACAGTTGAGATAGCAATATTCCATCAACCAAATGCAATGGTAATGGTAAGAACATTACAAGAAGCTATATCAAGAGCTCAATGCTGTGCTTCCACTTAATGAGCCCAGGTCTAGCAACATTTTGGTTTGGTGAAAACTACAGGAGGTAGCATGGTTCATTAGGCTTTTAAAGCTTTAAAATGTTAAAGGGGGTGTTTTTCCTCCTTCATTTCAAGTGGATTGCTAAAAGCATTGAAATGTTCCTTGGTGGAACTTTGAATTTGCTAATTTCTTCATTAATTTTGACCTTTATACATTCAAATAAAGTTAACTTTACATTAATCCACAGCAGACTTGGACCTCCTGCAGTTCTGAATTATGATTAAACAAGCAAGAATTCAAGCATATGGAATTTCCTGAGAAAATTTGGGGACTGTTTTAGAGAAAGGATTTATAAAATATTTGTTGAAGACTATAACATGCTAAAAATAAAAAAGAAAGGTTTCTTGATTGTTCTAAAACACAATAGGATCCACAGAACTCTTATATAGTTTTCTAAGTAGTTTCATAAATGTGGATTGTGGTTGCCCTGAAAGTTGACATCTCCCTACCACACACTTGACAAGTGACCTGGCAAAAATGTGGTCAATAGCTATTTTTGACATACTCCTTAAGAAATTGTTGCCAGAGATTTGAAACTGCTTCAAGCTGATGTCTATTTCAAAACAAAACACATACTCACACACAAACACAAAATCCCAGTGCTATCAGTGATCTGGAAAATAAGCTTGCAAGCTGGCCATGTGCTGTTCTGGATAAATTAAAAAAAAAAAAAAAAAAGGAAGAAGAAGAAATGACAACAGTGCAAGCAACAGTGTCTGTTTAAGTTTCATTTGCTAAGAGTTTAGCATAAGGAACATCTTGTGATTTAATTAATCAGAAAATGGCACCTGCTTGAAATACTGACATGGAGAAAAGCATATTTTTTAAAGTTTGGAATAAAATTTGTTTCTGGAAATATATCCTTCCTGTTGATAGACAACTAGATTATGCTTTGGAAAGTCTAACTGTCTAGTAAGTTTAAATGTTGACAAGGAGAAAGACTGGGTTT